AGCTTGCTGCAGTCAACTGCTTAAAATGAGTTGATTGATTGCTTCATCGACGGACTCGTTGATGGAATGGATTGAGTGATTGGTTGATTGCTCCGTGAGTTCATTGGTGGGTTGACTGTCAAGAACACAGCAAAACTGTTTCTGTTTTTACCTTTTTTTCCCGAGGTATCATCGATGCCAATACTCAATCCTGGTGGCTATGAGAACACCACCAGGATGGAGGACTAGTGGTGCGGATGGCTCAAACCTGTTGGCGGGGACCGCACCTGCTGGATACAAGGTCCAGTTTCGCCTTGGGCACTAGGCCCTTTTCGATAAACCAACATTTTCTTGACAAAAAAAAAAAAGGTACCTTGAACTGCAATCCAGCTACATTGTTCTTCCTCTCTCTTTATGGATCGGACACACACCACAGGGCCCTTATTACCCCCTTATGCCCCTGACATTGGATCTATGGGACTTCACGCTGCACAGGGCTTACTTAGCGGCCTGACATTGGAAGTATGGGCCTTTACCCCTGCATGCCCCACATTTTCCGCGGCCAACACACCACTTAATCACTACCTTCCCCTTCCCCGAACACATCAACATACAAACTATGGGCTGCACACCCGTGCCCTCACGGTGAGTCAATTCCTGAGAATTTGGAATAAGACACTCTGTTTTCAAGTCCACCCTGCTCGCCGAGTACTTGGTCCTTTTCCGATTTCCGAAGCATCAGTCAACCGGGACAAATGTACATACCTTTACCAAGTGACCACTTGCTGGAAGTGCAGTGGGGGATGAAGAGGGTGGAGAAGGTGGAGGAAAGAAGATTTTTGAAAGTCTTAACAAGTCTCAAAGTAGAAGCAGTCGCCCAAGGTTTCTTCTACTGCAACAGAGGATAGCGGCGAGACTCAACTTGTGGGGTACGGCGGGGCAGATCTCTATAATCAAGAGGGCTTTGGTTGCTAACTTGGTATGCTGTTCTCTATTACGCGGTTTGTCAGCGCGGTTTGTGAATCAGTGGAAGGTCACGAGGAGGCTGGTGGCACGTTGCGTTTCCTGTGGAAATCCAGAGCAAAGAAATTGGGATTCTTAATCAACATTGCCCGTGAGACGCTCTCCTTTGCACGGGGTAAAGGCGGGGGGTTTGAGGCTTTGTTCCGGCCCTGTGTGACAATTTCTGCCCATTGTTTGGATTTTTAGGCCCATGTCAGGGTACTATCGTTCTGTTATGTTGATTGTTTCCTTTTTTTTTCCCTTTCCTTTTGGGCTACCGTCTTCCCCCCAACATAATGCACCCTAGAAATGAATGTATACGAGTTATATTTCCGGCCAGATACAGCCAAAATGAGGGTGCATGCATTGTGTTCGGGCGAAGACGGTAGTTCGGTTTTGAAGGCCATGTTGGCTTCTTCTTTTTTCACTAGGGTTGCGCATTAGTCAGAGCAGCGGTGCAGATTTTTATTATTATTATTTTTTTTTAATAATAACACAGAACCTCTTGGTCCTCGGTCCAAATTTGACCTCTTCTGCTTTGGACGTCTTCCCAACGCCTGAACCTAAACTGGGTAATGGTCCCAGAGTCCCAGACCTGGGTAATGGTCCCAGAGTCCCAGACCTGGGTAATGGTCCCAAGCAGGAGTCCCAGACCCTTCTTTTCTCCGGGCTGTTTGTGGAGGGTTTCCGGGCCTCCGGTTTACTGGTTGCAATAAAAGTGAGCTATGCTTTTTGTGAAAAAAAAAGAGAAAAAAAAAAGAAGGAAGATAAAGGCGGACGGGGTCTGTCAGATACGACCAGCAAGAAGCAGTCACAGCTCTAATCCCGGCGCCAGCATCAGCCAAACCGGAAGATGACCGGGTGGTGCTGGCTGAGAGAATGTTAGCGAGGGAATGGAGCCGTATAGCCCACGAGGGGACATGGATCTGCTATTCCATGGACTCTTTCACGAAGAAGAAACTGAAATCCGGATTCTACAAGGCAGTCAGGAGACCCTGGGGGAAGCATCCCCCAGATCTGCAGCCAGCGCCAGCGACGAGCGAAGGAGTGCTGGCACAACATCTCAGGCTGTTTGACAATCGCAGAGCAAGAGCGCCCCCCCCCCCCCTTGCGGCAGACTGTATGACAGGAACACTTGGGCAAGCTTTGATGCGCAGAGGGGCAAAGTGGGTGACCTGTGGTCCTCTCTCCTTTTGTCTCTTTGGAGACCGGTGACAGAAATTACGGAACAACCTGGCGGGACTTCGGAAACAGAAAAGCACTGGCAACGGATGACAGACACCATTCCTCCGCAATGGCGTGTCTCTTTGAGGGCCCCAAAGGTTTGGATCCCCCAGGGCACATTGTAGGTATGTACTTGAAGAGGAAACGGAAAATAACCTAGTATGGGAAATGCTGGAGATCCTGCCCAGTGGTTTCAAAAAGAGTGGAAAGGGGAAGGAGGAGGTGTGAGCCGCATTCGGACAAATTAAAGCTTGTGACGAGGAGGTGATAATGCTGGGGGGGGGGGGGGGGAAGGTAAAGGAAAAGTCCAAAGCATGTGGAACAACAGCCCCCCGAGATTTGGGTGGGGGAAATGTGAAGGAAACGTCCACGCGTATACCAACTTGGATTGATAGAGTGCTCCTCAGAGACGTCCGTATCAACCCCCTAGCCTGGAGCTGAAGATTCAGGAGTCAATTCAAAACTTTTACTTGTTGGACTACACTGTGGGACGATGGTGTGCACTGGCAAGGAGGACTACACTGTGGGACAATGGTGTGCACTGGCAAGGAGAGACAGGCGCAGTCCGGCCTCGATTGCAGTGCCCAGGCGGCCTCTATTGCAGCGCCCAGGCGCCGGCAAGCCGTCCTGAACGAGGACCTTATGGCCGCTCTCCAGGATGGTAAGCCCTTCTGCAGTGTGGTTCCTCAGCAGGGGAATTGCACCATGCTTCAAAAAAACAATTAAAAACAAAATTGCAATTTTGCACTGACCCGCCACACATCCTCACATCGCATTGTCCACCACCTGTCCGGCGGACCATCTCTGGTGCAGCTTGCTTTGCAGCTGCCTGCCTTCCTCGAATGGTTCCACAAAGTGAGCGGGCCTCTCCAACGTCGATGCCTCGGTAATCGCCGCGGGTACCACGAGGCATCCGCGCAGGTACCACTAGGTGGAAGAATAAAACTCGATTACCGAGGTACCACTAGGCGGAAGAATAAAACCATTCTCCCACCTACCTACCGGTTCCATGGGTACTGACGGTTTATAAAAACAAAAAAGAAGGTTTACGAAAACATCGATTTTCCTCTTGGGGGGGGGGAGGAAGAAAAGTAAGTACAATTCAATTAAATTCACAGGTTAGGACGTCGTCTTTTCTTCTCCGTTCCCTTTTTTTCCCCCTTTTTCTTTCAAAAACAACGACAACAGCTTAGTCACACTGAGCATACACGACTCTAAGCAGCTCAACGTTAACCAGCACCGGTTAACCAACCTCCTCAGTTGAACAAACCCCAGTAAATCAACCAACTACGGCCCATACATATAGCCCAATGCGACCTTCCATTAGCCAGGCCGCGGGATCTGGGTAAGTACCCACTCCCGCAAACCAATACCGACCAGGCCAGTTATCTATCATAACTCCTTAATCAACCAACAACATCCAAGCCTCTCTGATTAACCGACACTTCAGCCATACCTACCTCTGATTGAAACGAATACCTCCGAGTAACCAACACCCAATCCTGGTTGTTGTCCGACGAACCAAATTCAGGTACCCTACACCGCCCTCCTCGATTAACCCGCCTCGCTTACCTAACCGCGGTTAAGCGAACCTGGTTAAACCGCACGCACTTCAGCAGCCAACCCACTCCCCCTCCCCCTCCCCCTCCCCCTCCCGGTTAATAAAACGTTTACATGCGATCAACCAACACCCAATCCTGGTTACCCGGACAACCAAGTTCAGATACCAACGACACAGCCTCTGTTAACCGGCCTGGACAACTCGAGACCACGGGTTAATCGAGCCTCTGGTTAACCGGCACTTCAGCGGACCTACTCCTCCCAATCCTGGTTCAAATGTAACGTAACCCTTTCCATTAACCAACCCAACTCCTCCCAATCCTGGTTATACCTGGTTAACCAAGTTCAGGTACCCAACGCAGCCTGAATTAACGGGTCTCGGTTAGTCAACCAAACGGCCAAGCAACTGCAATAAACCTGGTCAGGTTCAATGTCGACCCGTTAATTCAGGCTGCCCCCAACTGCAATAAACTAAACCACGCTGACCAACCATGGTCAACCACCATCAACCACGGCTAGAAAGACCGAGCCTTTTTCACTAGGTAGTGCAGGAGAAACGAGTCCTGAGAACCGATCACGGTTCACCGACCCTGGTTCACCGACCACCAGCAGTGAAGAATACAATACACTGTTATTCTGTACACAATCTCCTCCCTCTCCTTCCCCTCTCCCTCTCCCTCCCTCCCTCCCTCCCTCCCTCCCTCCTGCATCTCCAGCATACCTTGCGCTGAAGCAACATCATCACCCACAAACCCTATCTGATCCTCAACTCGATAGCGGGACAACAATTCGGGTTTGCTCTTTTTGTGATGCCTCCACCAATCATGGATTTTCAAATCCGAAATCTCTTTATTTAACGTTATACTGGAAGTTATTCCGTGGCCACAACCGGAGAGCGGTCGGTTTTGGCTCCTAAACAAATTCACTCTCCACAATGAGAAACAAAAGACAAACATCGAAAAGGTCAAAAATAAAAAACTGGAAACTCGCACACCCACTGAAACTAAGCACGACTGTGACATGAGTTCAGCATGAATCACCCCGGACGTGAAGAACGCGCATCATGAGGATGACACCGATGACATCACGATGACGACGACGGCGACGATGATAATAATAATGATGATGGCGATGATGATGATGATGATGATCTAAAAAAAGAACAAACCTAATTTGATCCTTATTACGCTGTATATCTATCTACTGTAACAAAGCAGAGATAATGCTTAATCTCTGCGTAGATTAGATTTTGATTGGATTGGATGTCATCATCATCATCATCATCATCTATCGTTCATAGAGGGAGAGGATCTGAGTCGAGGCCGAAGCAAATCTTCGTATCTGGTTCTCATCATGCGCTTCAACCTCCCCTCCTCTTGTGGAGGGGGCGTAGGTGCGACATTCTGCGGGGTAGGAGGGTAGGAATGGGAGACGACGGGCAGAGAATGTTCATCCCTGTCACCGAAGTCCATACCTCCTCCGGGCCCCCCTGCTCCCGCAATCATGCCGAGCGAATACATTCCCCCTACCCCACTTCCTCCTCCCACCCCCCCAACCCCACCACCTCCTGCTGCTGCTCCTCCTCCATTATTTCCAGACCCCCCATTGTCCTTCTTCATTGCCCCTCCCAGCAACCCTCCATCCCCGAAAATCGTCCCCATCGTGGTCTTTTGCAAGGTCGTCGACATCGCATTCCCTATTGCCAAGAACTTATTCCCCGATCGCTCTCTCATCAACCCCTCCAATTCTTCTCTGCTTCCGGGGTCCAGGAGATCGCCCTCCCTAACCAAGGAATTGAGGACCGGCAGGTAGTATTCCTTCACCGCCTGCGCCGACATCTCCGTCCCGTTCAGCGCCCGCGCCGCTTGCCAGAGCGCCTCCACCATCTCTCTTTTTCGGGAAACCCCGCCTACATTGCCCAGGTTCACCGTACCCAAGATCAAGACCTTATGCAGCAGGTACTCTCGAATACTCTGCGTCGCGAAGGGTATTGCCACCGTCAGCGTCTTCACCACGCCCACCAGCGCCTCATGCGATCCGTCTTCCAGAAACGAGTCTATCTGTACTCTCACCTTGTCCACTACCGCTTCATCTTTGCACTGCTGCGCGACCGCTCCCAGTGCGCCGATGGTGGAGTACTTCACCTCCACGTTCGGGTCGGAGCCTAGGGTTACCAAGGCCGGCAACACCTGCTGAGCTATGGTGCGGCTGTCCACGCTGGGCACCATCTCCTTCAGCAAGATGGAAGCCGTGACTCGCACAGCCGCATGAGGGTTCATCACAAGCTCCCACAGCACCCCAAGAAGACAGGTCTGCAGCTCGTCGAAGGTGCAGACGAAGCTGAAAGCGTTGATGAGTTCCGGGGTGTGAGACGACGTCCATGCGCCGTTCTTCAGACTGGAGTTGAGCACTAGATCGCGCAGAAAGGAGGCAAGATACTTGCGCTCCATCAGCGGGGAACCTAACACGCCGGCCAAGAGCAGAGGCAGAACACATACGCTGGCCAATTTAACGCCTGCTGAAGTGGAAGGCTTCAGAGACTGGATTCGCTGAGAGATGAAGTCCGGCATGTACGAGGTGTCGGCGGAATGACCGGAGGAGACGAGAAACGTGGGGAGGACAACGAAGGCGAGGAAATGATGGCCGAAGACATCGCCCATCAGCAGCAGTAATTGGCAAATCCTCCGCCGCAAACCGTCTTCTCGGGGTTGCAGAGTGCAAGCCACCTGGATTAATCCAGGGAGAAGATCTCTTGCAATGCTCTCAAACTCCGGCCAGGACTTCCCCGACTTGGTATATGCAACGAGGAGTGCTTTTGTGAAAGATACTCGCGACGATAATTGCGCGGCATCATCATCATGAGCTCCTTTGCTGCCGCTGGTGCCTGCCGCCGCGCCTGCTTTCTTCCTCTCCTCCTCCTCCTCCTCCTCCTCCTCGACATCGTCTTCCCCTTTAAGCTTCCCTCTCCTCCTTCCTTCCTCTTCTCCCTCCTGCTCCTCCTCCTCCCCCCTCTCTACCGCCTTTCTTCCGACTACCTCTTTCTTGCCGCCGCTGCCCGGGAAGTCGAGTACCGGCAATTTGGCGAGCACTTCGCTCCGCATCTGCGGCAGAATCTCCGTCAGCATTCTCAGTAGAACGTCGATTTCCCACCTCTCTCTCTCCCCAAGAACCCGAAGCTGAGATTCCACAGACCCTTCAACACCCGAGAAAGGAGGACATCTGCCAGGCAACACGACAAGTCGCGACAGAAGGCTGCGGAGCAGCACGGACAAGCACCCTCCCCTCTGTGTCAACCAGGACACGACCGATGGCACCAGCGTTCCCAGGGCGACGTCCACCACAGTCCCCGTGGAGTCCCCCACCAGTCTGAACACGATTTCCTCGACCTTGGGGTACTTTTCCAGCGTGTCGAAGAGCGGCAAAAGCAGAGCAAGATTCCTTGCCGCCGCTTCTCGAATCAGCGGCGCAGGATCTTCCGTCAATTGAAGGAGAATCGAGAGGATTAGCGAAGTTCGGATCTCCGGACTGACATACTGGGCTAGGTCTCCGCACGATTGCGCGACAAGCAATCGTCTCTCGGGGTACTTGTGGTTGATCTGCTCCCAACACTGAGGAAGAAGCTCTTCTTCCGTGCGCTGCTCGCCTATTCTCACGGCTAATTGCACGCATGCATTCATAATCACCTTCCTCTGATGCTCGTCTGGTTTCTTAATTAGGTTAAACAGTCCGTGAGTGAGGACATCTCGAGCTTGCGACTCCGGATGCCGCTCGATCGCGACAATGATCAACGGTAGCAATTCCTCCCTCTTATCAATCAGCACAGCGGGCACAATTTTCGGCAGCGATTCCGCGATAATTCTCACGGTCTTCATCTCTTCCTCAGCTGCTGCTGCTGCTGCTGCTGTAGTCGTCGCAACCTTCTGCCTCCTCCTCACCTCCTCCTCCTCCTCCTCATCATCATCATCATCAGCTCTAACAGCCGACCGTGGATGGCCGTCATCATCCATCGCGGGTTGCTGCATAACAGGAGGATGATCACGATCCGCCTCCCCTTCTTCCTTTCCCCCGCGCTCCTGAACATTCCGCACGGCAAGGTCAACCTTTAGTAGTTGCGTGAGCGGCGGCGGCTCCTCTTCTCCTCTCGAATCCGCCGTCGTCGTCGTCTCCAATTCCCCACTCTCTGATCCCGACCCCCCATAACTACTCTGCGCCTGCTTCTCTTCTGCCCCAGTTAAGCTATTGCTGCTCCCGCTCGCGTCGCTTCTGTCTGACACCGCCGACAAGGCCCTCGTATCCCGTCTATCATCAACAATTGCATCCGAGGAAGACTCGGACACGTCTTCCCCTTCTTCCGGGATGATGAGAAAGCCATTCGAAGAAGAGCTGCCTCCTTCTTCTGTTGCCTGATTCAACTCGCTGCCGTTCGTCGAATCGCTAACGACCTTCCCTTCTCCCTCCTCCTCCTCCTCCTCCTCCTCCGCACCTTCCCCCTGGGGTTGCTGCAATTCGCTCATCGTCGATGCATCCGCTGGCCCAGACGGAACACCACCACGTGTTTGTTGGCCAACTTTGGCTGATGTTTCCTCCACGGCCTCTGTGTTCTTGACGTCCTCTGCTTCCCGCCTTTTCCTCTCCTCTTCTTCCCTCTCTCTCTCAATCTCTCTCTGCCTTTCGCGCTCTCTCTCCAACGCTCTCTCCCGCTCTCTCTCCGCCTCCCTTTCCCTCTCCACAGCTCTTTCCTCTTCCCTAAGTCTCTCCCTCTCTTGTTCTTCCGCGGCCCTTCGCTGCATTTCCCGCTGCAGACCCTCTATCTCCTCAGATAACTGGGCTATTTTTGCATCCCTCTGTTCCTTCTCCTCCACCGACTCTCGCAACACCTCCTCTCTCCCATTGCTGACCATCACATAGCACGAGTAATACCGGTGAAGAGAGTCGCGCGTGCCACCTACGCCATAACCACCACATGGGCCGTCATCGAACTCCTGATCGCTCACCTCTTCACAGAAAGTCATCGCCGTCAGCTTGTAGCCCGATGAAACTAAGTAGTCCTTCACTGCATGATTCAACTCCCTTCTCTCCTGCTCTCCAACAACAACAACACCACCAGCACCACCCTGATGTTGGTCATGATGAGGAGGAGGAGGAGGACAAGTATCCTCGTCTAGGCTGCTGGCGGGTGCCGCGTTCCTATTCCTCACTACACCACCATTAATCGCCACGACTAGCCCGGGTTTTGAAGACTCTGCGCCCGCCGCCGTCGAGGTCATCATTACCCCCCCCCCCCCCCCCCCCCCCCCCCCCGACGGAAACGTGGCAATGACCTTCTTCTCCAACTTTGCCAATTTTTCCTCGAGATTTTTTATATCCTCCTTGGCGATCCGAAGCTCGTACTCTCGGACGGCGGCCAATTCCGCCGCCGCCTGCTTCTCATCAGCAAGCTTCTGCAAATCCAAACCTTGAAGACTCTGAAGGTTCATCAACTGATCCGGAGGGAAAGTCTCCTGGTCTGCGAAGAAATCCTGGAGCTTGGACGCAGCCGACGCCTGCCCATCCTCCAATAACTCGTGCAACAACTCAAAAGCAGTTAAAAGATATTGTTCCTGAAGCAAAAAATTCACCACCAGTTGCCTCAATGCCTCCTTATTCCCGAAATCTCCGTACGAAGGAGGTCCAGCCCCTCCCCACTCCATGCTCTCTCTCTCTCTCTCTCTCTCTCTCTCTCTCTCTCTCTCTCTCTCTCTCTCTCTCTCTCTCTCTCTCNTCTCTCTCTCTCTCTCTCTCTCTCTCTCTCTCTCTCTCTGTGTGTGTGTGTGTGTGTGTGTGTGTGTGTGTGTGTGTGTGTGTGTGTGTGTGCCTGTGTGCTCCCCGCTCTTTTTCACCGCTGTGCGTGTGGCTGGGGGAATGTGTTCGTCCGTAGCTAGATGATTCAATAGCGCCTTGAGAAGGGGATTTTCAGAGATATGGCTACCACGTACCGCATTGCCGTTCTTTCGACGTATGGAACAAGGGTTGGGGGGGGGGAGGAGGGGGAGGGGAGCGCAGCAACAGAAACCACCGGCAGTTGAGTTGCGTGCTTGGGTAAGCTGTTGGAGTGGGTGCTGTCTGTCTGTGTGCGTCCGTGAGTGCGCGTACGTGTATGCGTTGGAGGGTACAGCTGAGCGGGGGAGAGGGGGGTCGACCGCCAGAGCGAAAACGGGAGGGAGAGAGAGAGAGCACATGGACAGCGGCGAAAACGCAGAAAACCCGATATGGCGCTGTCGATCGTTATGTTCTCTTGCCTCCACCTGGTGATGACGTGGACATATGGCAGGAGAAAGCGGCAGGGTGATTAATCAGAGAACAATATACCAGACAAAATCATATTGATGTTGAGGTAAACATTCCAGCGTCTGTGACTCGGCCATGTTGGCGGGGCGGACATGTCCGCCGGACGCTCGTGGACAACGCCTCATTTGCCACCCGGATGGCATTGCCACTTCAGCATCGCGCTGCAGCGCCCTAATTACATTACAGAGACCGAACGAGGTTTTCCATTTTTCCCTTGGCTTCGCCTCACTGAAATGGGGCAGACAAGCACGGCAGGCGTTTCTTGCGAAAATGACTCGATTGCCCGTTATCAAGTTGTATAGTCCAAGATGGCCATCGACCGGAGCTTCACTCCGATGTGTCACCCTGTTCGTGATGTGTTGTATTGAACCGACGATATGCGCAGCCCCGGTCAAAGACGAAGCCTAACCTACGAGCCTCGCCGCACAGTGCTGGACAACAGCCTATCGCCTATATAGCTGCACACACACACTCGCCAATTGCGTCTTCTTTTTTTCCTTTCTTTTTTTATACAAAAAAAAGACTCTGCTCATTCCATTATGCTCAAAAGAGGGGGAGGCCCATCTTGAATTACTCTGCTCAGGTAGGGTACAGACTACGTAGCCCCCCTAGACAACCGCTCGCCGTAGCAGTGGGCAGATGGACACAGGTACTGCAAAACCCACCACAGGAGATCAGAACAGCCATCTCTAAATGATGGGAACAATTGGGACTCGTCCCCAACCAAAGACAGGCAGCTCTTTTATGGCTCCTGTCCTTCTTGGCCACTCCCTCATCAGTTTGGCTAGCGCAAAGAGGTGTCCAACTGGATCTAACCTGCAGTCGTTGTCAATGGGCTTTTGAATCCACACCACATCTGTGGTGGGACTGCCCGGCTTCACTCAGAATCTGGCAATGGTGGCGGAAAACATGGGAACGAATGGCGGGTCGGCTACTCCCTTGGACCAGAGAATGGGTCCTGCTAGGGGGCACCCCAGAAGACCTCAGCACTGAGACAGGTTGGGGGTATGCAGCCCAAACAGCTAGAGCAGCAGGCATAGAAGTCATCTGGCATGAAAGAAACTGCAGAGTTTTTAAGAAGAAGGAACTGTGCAACAAGGAGATCCGATACCGGTTCAGAACCAACCTGCGCAGATCGATACAAGCGGACTGGAGGAGGAAAGGCAGAACCCCATCAAGCCCAGGTAGAATCTGGTTTCAGAAGACTTGGTGCAGCAACAACAAATTTGCTAGAATCTCATGGAAGGTAAGTTGGAGCTGGGCAATTGGTCCCTCTCGGACCGATAGACTATGAACAATAGTTACCAGACAAACTGAGCGTAGCTGGATAACGGTCCCTACCAGGACACTCGGTTCGTTGCCGCAGTGGGCAGGCGGTTGTGGCTCAAGAGGACAGGAGGGAGTGTCAAATTAGAATAGGAAGGTCCAATGGGACCACACCCACCGACTGTTAGGTGGGGATTCGACACAATAGGTGGAATGTTTAATCTTACCTCCCCCACCCCTGGAGAACGTAGGTAAGTTTGCAGAGTTTCATTTCTTCTTGGGCACTAAGGTAGTAGGTGCTTTACTTCATTTCTTAATTAGGGCGATTACAACATCCGAATTGCTTTGAGATTTACGTTTTCTCCCACCTCTTAGCTGGTAGGTGATTTTTCCTAGTTAGGGTGCCACAATTTTTGGTTTGTTTGGCTTTCAGGCCTGGAGGGACTAGTTTATTTTCACTGGGGTTGTGGATCAGTCAGAGCAACGGTCTCGCACTGACCAATATGTCTCTTGACGTCTTCCCAACGCCCAAGCCTGAACACTGGGTAATGGCCCCAGACTGGTTCGATGAAGTTACTCCGGATTGTATGTGGAGGATTCCCGGCCTCCCCTCTATTGTGGCAATGAATGATTACTCCTTTTTGTAAAAAAAAAAAAAAAAAAAAAAAAGGGGGGAGGCCGGGAATCCTCCACAAACAACCCGGAAGTGAACCTCTGGGACCATTACCCAGATTTGGCTTGTGGGTGTTGGAGTACGTCCAGAGACAGAAATGGCCAACACTCGACCCCTGTCCTGACTATCCCCAACCCCTTGAAGAAACAAACAACCCTGCCGCACAATCCAAAACGAACCAAAAGAGGAAACAAAAAGGAAAAACAAAAAAGAGAAAAAAGTCACCCCTAACCGAAAACTTCTCATTACTACCTCGTTCAATTATTCCTTCTACACTAGGTCCCTTCTAGTCCCTCCTAAGTAATCCCTCCTACAAATTAATGATTGTCTACCGCGTGGGCGTGGGGAATGCCGCCCTAAGGTAGTCAAAGCAATGAGACCATGGGCGTGTACGCGCGCGCGCGCGCGCGCGCGCACGAGAGAGAGAGAGAGAGAGAGAGAGAGAGAGAGAGAGAGAGAGAGAGAGGGGCTGAATGGCAAAATTGACATATGGGTCAAATTACGGTCGCAATCCATTTTACAGGTGGAATGATTTTTAAAATTTTATTTAACGTTTTTCCTCGAAAGATCATGACAAAATCTACGAGTACTCCAATTTTCAGATTTTTCACGCATTCTTCTGAGCGCGAAAACTCACTGAATTTGGAGTACTTTTCCAGTTGTCCCACTCACGAGTGAGTGGCAAAAATGGAAAATGTACCGAATCGGCGCGCCGATTATTTTGCGGCCTAAATGATTTTTTGAAAATGTTATAATATTTTTTTCTGGAAAGAGCACAAACTCATATATGGATTCTCAAAATTTCAGATTTTCCTGCGGGCACCTCCGACTACAAAAAATCGCCAAAAGTGCCTCTTACAAAACGTCTGTTTCGTTGCGCCTGGCCTCCCTATTTTGAGAAGACGGGCCTCAACGCCTGAGCCTGAGGGCCGTTTTGCAGTTCACATACCCTCACTTCTTTTTGGGGTCCGCTTTCAGCTGAGGACCCGTCCAACGGCCCCCCACTTCTTTTGGGGGTCCACTTCCACCCGAGGACCGGTCCTTCCTTTTTTCAAAAGTCTCGGTTCTACCAGAGCTAGCTGTAGGTAGTCCAGTCCGCAATTTTGCCAAGTACCGGTCCCCCAATTTTTTTTGCCCCCTAAGAACCCGTCGCCCGCCGCCAAAAATCCTGGTCGCCCGCCGCCAAAAATCTGACACCTTGACACAGACTCTGAAGCACACTATACCACAGCCTTAGGGTTGCGAACAGAAAGTTCAACCCACTTATTCCGAACAATAACCTTTGCAACCTAGCTTCTAAGTACAAAGTCTATCTCCCACCTATAACGGTGGGGGGAACCACAGAGGTTCCTATCTACTTTCTATGTCAGCTCCCTCCAACCCTCTTCCTTTGTTGCCTATCTCCTGCGATACATCACTACCGAGCGCCCAGGTATAGCAAGTTTTTTTAACAGTCCTTGAGTAGCCAAGGATCAAGCACCACCCGATCTTGTGGGGAGATCGATGCTATTTTGTGGTCGACACACCATGTCTCTCTGAACCACATCCTTTCATTCTCCCTATCTCCCCCACTGGAGACTTTCTTTCTCCAATCAGCCAGAATCGACAAACGCAATTGTCTAGCAAAGGATGACCTCGCTTGTTTGTTTGTTCTCTCTTGCCCTTCAAAAATTCTTGCATTCCTTTCTTGCCAAATTACTGCAATTGCTATCGCCCTGATTACTTGAGCAACGTAACCCCATCCTTTGTGTATGTTTACGTTGTCTGGTACTCCCCCCAACAACAACCAACTTTTGTCCCAGGGAAATACAATGTTCGTAATTCAGTCCCATAACTTCTTAATCCATTGCCAAATGCTTGCCAAGGTAGGACAATCCCACCAGAGTTGCACCATTGATTCAAAAGTCCAGCTGCACCTGGGGCAAGTCATCTCCACTTTGACACCGTGTTCTAAGAGCCACACCGCCGAAGGTGTGGACACAAATGACAGTCATAGTGTGGCCGCTTGTCTTTGACAAGGAATTAGCCTCAGCTGGTCCCAACACTTTAAGCTGGATCTACATCCAACAGTTGTGTCCATCTGGACCGAACTACCACGTGTGGAACTTTCAACGACATAACCAGCCCGTGTCCTGTCCTCTGGTGGTAATCTATCAGACTCAAGTTTTCTCCATTTTTCCCTTTGGCACGCCATTCCCATATTTTAGGATCCACGTTCAATCTGAGCACCCGTTTACCTCCATCGAACACTGTCTGATTTTGCACCGGCTTAACCCTCAAGGGTTCCATAACCCGTATTTGAATCAACTTTTGTCCCAAAGGGGGTTGTGTGGTCTCCAGTTCTTCCAAGAGACAACCCTGACCACTAACCGTCCAACCTTGAAATTCTCTCTTTCCATCATGTGTCATAATCTTGCGAAGTTTCCAAACTTTATCTCCTGGTTGATGTCTGAGTGAGAACGACGTACCTGGCGGGTCAATCCCGTCAGGGCCAATCAAATGTTTCTATGCTTCCAGGATAGCATTTATAATAAGAGTTAGTTTTTCCTCTACCTTTTTAAGCCTGCTCAATTTTTGCCTCAGGCTTTCGACTGGACACCAAGATCCAGTGTATTCATCCCATATGTCCTGGACCCGTACGACACTC